ATAGTTATATAGAGATTTAACTTAATTGAAGGCAGAGGAAGAAAAAGACCACCATAAGAAAAAAAAATCAAAAGTAGAGAATACAGTGATAAATTTAAAAGCAGATACCCGCAGACACTCTTAAGAGAAAGCAATAAATGGCCATGAGTCCACAAGAATACCACACAGAGCCCACATCAGCTATGTGCTCCAGGGGCAGAAAATTGCCCTGCATTATGGTTTCATGCCTGTTTGTCTGGATATAGGCATGCGGAACAGGTCCCATGTCACTGTCAGATTTCCCTACAGTACCTCTGGCTTCTAGGGTATCCTCGATTTGAGCCGCATAGGGTCAAAATTCAGTGCTTGCCTGTACTTAGTGCTTGCCTGTACATGCTGTCATGTTGAGCCTTCTCCATATCTTGAGCCTCTGGCTTATGATGGGGATGTGGAGTCATTGATATAGGTAAGTGACCACTCTGCTTCTATGGAGCAGACTGATGCTCTCTGTTCTCTAGCTTCTGCCAAAATTTGAGCTTGGTCAAGTTGTAAAGGTGGTAAAGTTTCTCACTGCTTTGACTGGGGGAACACGCGGCATCTGCCATGATGCGTTGGTCATGATGTTTGCTGCTTGGTTTTGCGGCAACACCACGTGGTCATGCTACAGCAGCGTGCGAACCGGGATCTTCCCCACCGGTCCAAAGGGGACTGGGGTGAGGGGTAACTGGACACTTTACAGTCGTCCAGGCTACTCCAGGTGGGAGATCAACCGCCTGTCCCATCTGGCGCCCACTAGGCTGCTGTCAAAAATGTCATGGCTATGACCTTCTGCCGAGTCACTGCTAGTCAGCCAGGTCACGGATCTGGTAAGTTGCTTGCACTGTGATTAATCAAGTTAAATGTGGCTCAACTCTCTATATGCCAGGATAATACAGGAGCTCTCTCAAATCGTATCCATCTTCCATGACAGTTAGGCCCTGCCACCCCTAGAAATATTACTATCTTCACACACTTAAAATCAGCCCTTACATTTTCTGCAAATTACAAAGAAAATATCAAT